GCTACAATGTAGCCACAATCCTGCCCTGGGGCTCACTGACAGAAGTGGGGCTGCCGTACACTGGCGCCACCAGGCCCTCTGACCACCATCAGTAGACAATGCAGGTGAAGTGTCTTGCCCAAGGACACAACGACAATGAAAGTCGGAGTCGGGGCTTGAACCGTCAACCCTTCGATTACAGGGCAAACTCCTACATCCAACGCCACTGTCGCTGTGATTATAATCCATCTGAATATTTGTTTGTGCTTTAAAGAAAAATATAGGAAAAATCTGTGCTTGAATTTTTATTGAAACCTACTAGTTAAGGCAGTTACTTTTGTTTTTTCCCTAACTATACCATGCATAAAAGTACAAAATGCAAGCAAGATGTAAGAGAACTTTAGTGTAAAATGACAAAAGTTCACCACATGACCCGTATCTCACCCCAAGAGTTTCAAAGTCCCCCTTGAAGAAAACAAAAAACTGAATAGTATTTGGATAAGGAAAGGACAGAGGAAAGGGATGAGGAGATTGAGAAGAGTATTAAAGGACCGGGTTATCACACCATGAAGAGAATGAGTACATGCCCATTTCAATGTGTGTGTCTGTGTGTGAGTATTCCTCCAAGGTGTGATTTATCAGGTCTACAGTGCTCTAGGGAGGACTGAGGGTCTTAGTCCTCATTCAGGATTAAATGGCCAAGAACACACACACACATTCCCAGAGAGTCAGAGTCAGAGTAATGAGAAGTTCCCATTCGCTGCCTCTCCAATCAACCAGGAAATGAATTAATCTCACAATTATAGCATCTACTAATTCCACTCTGCTTTCATAATGCAAAGAGGCAATCTTTTAATTGTCCTAATTAGAGCAATTACCTAAAAAAAGAGAACTCACTTATCTTCATAAGTTAGGTTGAACCTAGAGAGAGTCCTGCAAGTGCCACTTTATATGAAGTACAGCTGAAAGTTTGTAACTTGAGCCAGTAGGAGTTGTTGTCCTACCTTTAACTTGTGCTTAGTGTTTCATTATGTGCCAGCAATGAGGTCACTGGGATGGTGTTTCTGCAGGGGTAATCTTACTGGATGAGCCAACCACTGGCCTGGACAGCATGACGGCCAATCAGATTGTGGTACTGCTGGCGGAACTGGCTAAGAGGAACCGCATCGTCATTGTGACCATCCATCAGCCCCGCTCAGAGCTCTTCAGGGTATGTTTTAGGATGAGAAGTAAAGAATTAACATAAAGTCTTTTCTGAAGGACAGCTAAAAGACAAAGATTTGCTCATTGAAGTACCTATTCGTTGTAATTCTTCTGCAAAAACAAGCTCTGATCGATTCTTTGCAAATCAAACTGATTCAAATCTATTCCACATAATAAAAAGTAGCAAAAGTCTAAAGAAAAGCTTCAAGACACTTTCAGATATGCAAACAACTACTTGCTTTATAATGCACAGCATCTCATAGAATATTCACACCCCTAAAACCTTTTCAGATTGTGTTGTTTTATAAGAATACACAAAATCTCCAAAACTAAAAAGCTAAGCTGCCTCAGTAACATGGAGTCAAGCTCAACAGAGAGCTGCTAATAATTTCAAATTTTAAGCAGGTGTCAAAAAACTGGAGGTTAAAACAATTTTGTTGGACTGTTCAAAAGACTTGAGACTGAGGTGAGGCGCCATCTTTTAGTGGAACAACACTGGACATACAGCCTGAGCTAGAGAGGTTTAGATCAAAGAGGATTAGTACGTAGATTACAATGCTGCTTTTCACATTGGGTCCCCATCTAATCTGACTTCCAGGTTTAGCTTCAGCAAAAAGTGGTTGAACAAAACAAATACATTTAAGACTGTGATTTGAATGTGACACAATGAGCAGGTAAAAGGGGTGGTTATACTTTTGTATACCACTAAATAATCCGTTCTGATGTGTGTTGGCCTCTCAGGTGTTCAGCAGGATAGCCATAATGAGTCGGGGGGAGCTGGTGTTTTGTGGTCAGCCAGAGGAAATGGTGGATTTCTTCAGCCAATGCGGATATGAATGCCCAGAGTACTGCAACCCTTTTGATATCTATGGTATTTATGACGCAGACAAATTATTTAACACATATTTTGCTGCATAAGAGAACACCATGCATGTGCAGCAATAGTGATTGAAAACAAATATGGTATCAAACAGTTGACTTCACCTCGGTGGACACGCGCAGCAGTGAGAGGGAGGCCGCCACGTTTAATCGAATGCACGAGATCACCTCCGCCTATCAGAGATCCGCAATCTACCAGAACATGCTGGAGGAAATGGAGCAGAGCCTGCAGATATCAGACAAACCTGCCATTCCTTTTAAAAACAAAGAGTCCCCCAACGGCGCTGCCAAGCTTGGAGTTTTGGTTAGGTCTGTAAGATTTACAACAGTCCTGTTAAGGGTGTTTGATTAACAAACATTTATTACAAATTAAAATATGTACATAGACATTGTTGAAAAGTAAATATTCAAATCTAAATTGAATGTTTTTAATGTGCCATTTTTTTATGTTTAGGCGAACAGTTCGAAACCTTTCCAGAGACAGGATTGGTGTCGTAATGCGTCTGTCCCAGAACCTGATCTACGGTTTCTTCGTAGCCTTCTTTGTCATACATTTAGACATGGACGTGACCAAGGGTGCAGTGCAGGACCGAATAGGAATGATCTATCAGTGTGTGGCTGCTTCACCCTACACTGGCATGCTCAACGCTGTTTCTCTCTGTGAGTCAATCAACACCACATGCATGTTATATCACTAAAGTCACAAGTTAGTAGCTGCATTTCTTAGCAAACTCTTAGCAACTCTTCCATTTATTTTCAAAGTACAACGAACTTTATTTGATTTTGTTTTTAAGATTTTCTTTTGTAGACCAATACAAAATGGTGGAGTAAAAAGATAAACATTGATGCTAATTATTTAATCTAAAAAGTGTCATTTGAATTCAGCCCCTTGAGTCAAAACAGGAGCAAATTCTAATTTTCTTCTAAAGATTTATATTTGTTCCAGTTTTCTGTAATAAGGATTAGGGTTATTAAATAGACAATGTTATTGACCTTCAATGCTGATTTAGATTCCAGGAGGACTTATTTCTCGTTGGGGACCTCTAAGGTACTAGCTGACCAAAAGGCCTGGGAGAATTGGGGGGAAATCAGACAGGATGCAGAAGGAGACTTTTGGTTGACCTCAAGGAAGTTCTGACAACCTTCCAGAAAGAGGAACTAGTGTTTGGATAATTTTCAGAGCGAGGATGTTGTTAGGCCGATGAACCACCATGGGAGAGAGCGTGCCTCTTTGGTCTACATCTGGACAGGGCCTACTACCATGTCCCCTTAGGTATTTTGTTGGGATTGTAACAAGAGGGTGGAGTAGCTGGGATTTTAAGAGCCCTCCGATCCTTGTAGGCCCAAAGTATAAACTGTGTCAGCATTTTCTACATGGTCATGCCTGATCTCCTTGTCACTAATCCCATTTGTGGTGTTCATAGAGAGGATCTTAAGGCATTTCCTGGAAAGGGGTGAGTTTTCCCCTCTAGATTGGGAGTAAGTCTCCACCACAAGTTCATGTGACCTAGTACCATGGTGAATTATTCAAAGATGATGGTAGCATGAAATAGGAGAAGCCAGATGGAGTAGAGCTTCGTCTGCAGTTCTGCTAGGGCTAATACAGTCTGTTGTAGTGGGGAAAAAAGATCAGAGTCAAAAAGAGAATCTCAGTTTACCAGTCCTTCACAGTTTTCACCAGGATCATGAGATATCGATCATGACTGAATAAATAAGCAAATGGGAAACAAGTCAGCAGATTATCTCTAGCCGTAAAGGGTGTGGCTCTTCTTGTCTGTAGTAAATAGATTTTGCTGTTATGGATGCCCCCTGGGTGCCTCCCATTGGTGGTTGTCTGGGTACATCTCACTGGGAGGAGACCCTGGGCAAAACTGAGAACTTCCTGAAAGGATTGTGTGTGTCCCATCTGGCTTGGAGACATCTTTGGATCCAACAGAATTAGCTGGATGTTCAATTCAGTTTTAATCAGTTTATTTTTTATAGCGGCAATTCATAACACACGCATGATCTCAAGGCACACGCTGTCCTGTTGGTTGGACTGTTTTGGCTAATGTTTTCCAAAGGTTTTGATTGTAAAAAGACAAAGATGATTTTCTCCCCACCTTATGATTAGACACTACGTTATGATGCACTATTAAATATATACCCTTAGAAAGTACTTGGAAATTTTTAATAGATTTTTTTCTGTTGCAAAGCTATGAATAGTATATAAAGGACTTCACAGTACACCTCCCTAGTGTCTACTAATATCTGCTTATAAATATATGAATCAGATGAATGTATTCTGAAGTGAACGTAGTGCCAGAACTAAAACCGATGCCTGTTTGTGTGTTTAACTTAAACCTAAAGTGATGGAGCCAGCATAGAAGCATGGTTGAAGGTACGGACAGCGTGATGGGTAGTGACCTCCTTTGGCACTTTGTGCTAAAACCACCTAATCCACTTCCTGACAGCAGCGCTCACAGCAGAAGCTTCTATTACCGAGCAAGTTGTTCAGAAACAGCGTAGAAAACATGTCAAAAATGTCAAAGGGTTGATTTATCCTCCACATTTCCCCCAGGGTGCAGATTGAGCATCTGTGGGATGTTCTGGAAGATAACTACATGCAGCTTCTCCCTGCAGCTTACTGTAGTAAAGATGGCTGCTGTATTTAATGAGACAGGACAACCTCAGAGGTCATTTCCAGCTATGGTCCAAAGTCAGAACTGAACCAGATGGCTAACTGACTTAAAAGGTGGATCTTTTCTAGGCGTTTTATCTCAAAGCCTTGGGTCAGGTATTCACAAGCAAAGGAGAATGAACTTTTCTGCATCACAAACTCAGTAAACCGGAAAGAACTATAACCTACAAAGCTGCATTGTCAGTACCAGCATTTTAGTCTTTCTGAAGGTGTTCAAGGTTTGCTTTAGGAAAGTAACACATTCTGGTTAAATCACAAAACAGTACTGTGCTTTTCTACAACTAATCTTAAAATTACCCTCACCTTTAGGTTATTAAATGTCATTTAAACCGCTGGTTAGCCCTGATCTATCTTTTCTACTTATCGGCTGAGTCTAAAACATAAGCTTTAGTGCTGCAGACATTAGATAAAGAGGATGAAAGGTATGATAAAACAATAATGGTGCAGAAGTCCCAGCCAGAAGTAGTGACTGCTTTATCAGTCTGGCCTTCAAATTTGTAGATAAGTGCTGATAAGATATTACACTGAGCTGCACTTTGCAAAGTACCGGTAATGACTTTACTGAGTTAGGTGGACTGAGTTCTTACACCACCTCTGAATGCATTTGTCCGTTGATGAAATCTTGCAATGTCAGATAAATACGGATTAGAATTACACAGGAATCAGATGACAAACAATGGAAGTGGGAAATAGTAGGATAGGAATTAATTCAATGTATTTCTTTTCCTTTAAAATCATGTTGCATGCAGACAAGTCTACTTAAACGTCCTACTCTTCTAAGTCAGGGTTCTGGTTCAGATATACTTGAAGGTCTCTCTGTTTGCACCAACAGTCCCGTCGCTGCGAGCCATCAGTGATCAGGAGAGTCAGGATGGGCTGTACAGTAAATGGCAAATGTTCTTGGCCTATATCCTCCACATCCTGCCCTTCAGCATCCTGAGTGTTGTCATCTTCAGCTCTTTTATTTACTGGTGCGTAGCTGCAAATTCCGCCTCAACAAGCTAACACTAGGGTTGATGTAAAACCTCTAAACTTCTGTTCTTCTGTTTTTTTTTTGCCCGTTTCCCCTCCCACCACCAATGCAGGACAGTAGGGATGCACCCAGAGACATGGCGCTTTCTCTGTTTTACTGCTGTGGTTCTTGTTCCACATGTTGTAGGTGAGCTGAAAAGATGGTTTTTAAAAATAGATGTGGGATATTTTTTTACTCTGATTACATGTTTTTTTCACAATTTTTTAAATTATATTTCTTTGTTAAATGCTTCTCAAACTGCTTTAAAGCCGTGATCCTATTTCAGTATTTAAATGTCAAGTTTTTTTCCTTATGATGCCTACATACATTATAGCCAAGATGACATTTTTACTATTGAATTTATAGGTTATTTATTAGGTCACAGGGATGTTTCATTGGGTTACTTTTTCAACCAATGTCTCTTTACCCACTTTCAAGCATTTGAAAACCATAACTAAGTTCAGTCTTTTTTATGATCTTACTGTAAGTAATATGATGATCTTAAAAGAAACAGAATTTAGGGTTTTAGTATCTGTGAGCCATTATCGTTATTACCTCTGCCAAGGAGTTTATGTTTTTATCAACGTTGGTTTGTTTGTCAGTTTTCAAAGTAATAAAAAGGGTTACAGATTTTGCTGATGTTTTCCAAGAAGGTGTGTATTGTGACTGGCAACAAATGATTAAATTTTGGTGAGAAGCCAGATCACTATCTGGATCCAGGAATATTTTTTTAACATACTGTGAATACAGGTATTAACTTAAAGGTATAGTGGAGGATGTCTGCGAATTTTTGAAAAGACCTGCCCCTTCCGCTTAAAAAAAAAGCACATTCACAACCCTGTACCTATTCCCGAGAGGGATAGCCTATTAAATGTGTGTGAGAGCGTGCACGAGAAGAAAAGAGATCGTGCACGCTCTCACACACATTTAATAGGCTATCCCTATTCTCTTCTGTTTAAAAGTTACTGTTTGAATCGCTCCTACAAGCTTACTTTCCAAAAGAAGATTTGCAATTTTTCAACTATGTCAGACTCACCACCAGTAAGTGAAAATGGGGGCACGTCCTACGTGCATGACGAGCATGTAGGACAGTCTTACATAAACATATATCACCAGAATAATTGTAAATTAGGAGGACCACTTATTTTGATAATCGACCCAGAAAAAGAACACCCCCTCCATACATTTAAGATGGAATTCACAATATGTCAGGGAAAATTAGCTACTTGGTCGAGGTCTGCAATCTCTGGGTGCTTTTCTAATTTTTTTTATTATTTTCTTATTTATCTAATATTTGTATACCAGCATACTTGCATCAGCAATGGTTTATCTTCAAAATGTTTTACCTACTTTATTGTTATTACAATATTCACATAAATTATACAGACAATAGAAAGAAAATGTTTTTCCTTTATTCAACAAATAACTGTTTGTCAAACTCACTTTCCAATCAAGTAAAGGGAAGTTGCAGTGATTTCCAAATTGTGACAGGTGTCATAGGGTTGGCAAATTTGTGTTTTAGTATCATCCGATTACTGATTTTTATATACAGTATATATATATATATATATTTTTTTTTTTACTACTTTTGACATATTAAACTTTTTAAGGTACTTTATTCCAATATTTTTATTATTTTCCCACACGTTTTTCTCAGGAGAGTTATTGACAGTGGTTCTGTTAGGAGTGGTCCAGGACCCTAACATGGTCAACTCAGGAGTGGCTTTACTCAACATCGCAGGAATCCTGGTGGGATCTGGCTTCCTCAGGTTAGACACACCACCACCTCATTTATAGATGCCTGAAATCTATTTTTTTTTCTTCAAATTGATATTTTAAGCTCTGATGTTTTCTTTTTTGTGTTTTCCCCTTTTTGTGTTTACAGGAGCACGGAGCACATGCCGGTGCTGTTCCAGTGGCTTGGTTACCTGACCTTCCAGAAGTACAGCTGTGAACTTCTCATCGTCACAGAGTTCCACAATCTGGAGTTCAATTGCAGTAAGTTGATTTTCTATGTCACTAATCTCTTTCCCTCTAATAAATAAAAGGGTTTTGTGACTATGTTTATCACGTGGAAACAGCTGTGATGATAATGCCCTACAGACTTATCTCTCAATAGGCTATCAGGGGTGTTTTTTTACAATGTGGTTTCCTGCAGGATTTTGATCAAAAACAGACTTCCCTTTCTAATCAAAGAGCTCTAATCAAGAGCTTTTCTAGGTAACTTTTATACAGTTTTTCTTCTGTTGACCCTTTGTCGCTCTGATAGTTGATATTAATAATAAATGAGTTCAATGTTCAAGGACTCTTGGTCGAACACTCTGCAATATCAAGGTTTTTGTTGGCTTGTTTAGAAAAGTAGGATCTGAGTTTTGAAAACCAGATATCTGTTGAACGTTTTCATTTTTTCTTTTTTTTCATACAGATTTAACGAGACCCTTACCAGGAGCTTGCATGGTCACTACAGGAGATCAGATCATTGACCAGGGCTACCCAGGAGCTTTATCCCGATACACACTAGACTTTGTTCTCCTCTACGCCTTCCTTCCTGCTTTGGTTGTGATGGGAATAATCGGCTTCAAGATCAGAGACAGACTCATCCGCCACTGAAGCAAAAAAACAATCTTTTTTATGTTTATTTGGTAAAAAAACAAACAAAAAAATACTTCAGTGATTTATAATGAAGAACAGTTTGTCCTGCTGATGCTACTGAGCACTTTTCTTTTACTTAAGAAACAATCTAAAAACTACTGTTAAAAAAGTTTCAACCATGAAGTCTGTCAGTTCTTCTGAGGTCTTTTCTGTTGATATCTTTCCTTAAAGAACTGAATTCATCATACAAATGTTCCAAACTTTTCTGTCTTACGTTTTTCTTATATTATAAAGCTATTACAAACAAGAAGCAAAAACACGTACATTGTTCTAGTATTTCTGGTGCCACTTTATATTTTTCTAAACTGAACATTAGTCTTTTCAAATGAACAAATTCTACCGATATCTTGGCTGTAGTAATCTCAGCATAAGGAAAGAAACCGTGTAAACAAAACAAACTAATTAAAACGTTGATTTTAATATAATTTCATACAATTTAGATCGACTGACTCAATTGAAAGAATGGCATAAAAGAAGCTGACATATAAGTCTAAAGTTCACAGCCTCGAGAAAAGATGGCAATGATTAGACAGTTGGTAGCATCAATGTGCTATGAAGCGTTTGCACCAATCAATCTGTGATTATCTCTCAAGAAGACAAACCTGCACTGAACGCACCAGTTAAAATTCCCAATACCTGCTTTTACCTCAAAAACATCAAGTATATAAAATTATCAAAGGAAAAAATATTATATAAACAATGAGTTTCTATTAAAGATGTTTTATTAGTTGAAACTCATTACAAACTTGGTTTATGAACAATTTTATCAACAGTTGATTAAATAGTCAAATAATTATTTCATAAGTTCTCTGTATATTTTATTGTAACACTTGTGACAGACCACAGGCCATATCTCAAATAAAAAAAAAAGAAAATGAAAGCCTTGGTGATGCCGTCCATTATGCTGTTCCTATGTAACACCATCTATCGTTTTATTAAATTTCTGAGTCCATTACCTCATTTCCAACCTCGTGGAAAGTATTAAGTATAGGCGGTGAATACCTTCATAATGGACTGTTTTTTTTTTTTTGGTTTTCAGTTTTCCCTAGCTTTCCCTTTCTTCCCACATTGCTATACTGCGGTAATGTGTGTATTATTTTAAAAAAAAGAGAATAGTTCAATACAAGTTGGGACAAAGCTGAAACATAACCAAATGTGGAAAAGTAACTGTGCTGTAAATACTTTACAGATTAATTATATATTAAAGGTTATTTCCTCCAGCATTTACCTGCTTTTGCTCCAATCCAACTGAAAAAAGCATGTCCATAGTAAGATGATTTTACATGCTTTACAATGTGGCCTAGGGGGAAATTGGAAAACAGAACTATTTGCTGCTCCTCCATAAAATCCAAAGCAAACAGACTTGGATACAGTACTGGATCTGGTCCTCTCTTCAAGAGCTACTAGGCCTTTTCACTGTTCATCTGATTAATAAGACTCTCAATGAGATGCTTAAACTTCGGAACATTGTAGTATACATTACCTTAAACCTATCACTGACCTTGGTTGTCATGGTGGTGTTCTATCACTATTGTCCTACAACACACCTCTGAGGTCACTAGGCACCTGTGTTCAAACTGATGGACAGTCCTTTTTTTTTAATTTTTATGGCACTATTCTGTAAAAGTTTTAAAAAAACAATCCACTGGACTTTGTTTCCAAGGTTTGAAGATGTTTCGCATCCCTTCCAGGAAGCTTTCTCAATTGAAATGTTTTAAAAAACTTTTACGGAATGACTATAACCTGGATGACTGAGAAACTTCACCAGTATTTATGGCACTAGTGGCTAATTTTCTGAACAGTAGACTGACAGGAAAGGGGGTATGAGAGGGGGAGAGACATGCGGGCGAACCACAGGCCCAGCACGCCCCAAGGACAGCCCTTTTTCATATCAAGTAATTTCCGAAAGCAACTGACATTGTTTGAGCTGTGAGATTGCTGCACCTCTACCAGAAATGTAACCCAGGGTGAACCAGCTGCTAAAAAAAAACAAAAAAAACTGTATAACTGTATAACTTACCGGGCAACCAGAGGTATTTGGGGAGTCATTTTTGCCTCATCAACTAACATTAAAGAGGACAGTTAAAGACATTTCTTCCCAGGATTTCATTAGAACAGCAAGGTTATTTCAAGGGAACCAAAGACAAGCTGACAAGTTTTCTGCAGCCAGAGGAAGAATGATGAGGAGCACAAAGTTAATTTGGGTGTAAAGGAAAAAGTTGTGCATTTTGCAATTGAAAAGCAGGTTAATATAAATATAAATAATGCATCATGTTTTCATCATGAATAAATTAGATCAAGCATTTATTTGCAGTTCCCCTTATGCAGACATACATGGTGATTCCTATCGGCCATTATTGTGTTCAGTTGCCCATGAGGTCGGGCGCAGACCTTTATTCATCTTCCACATTTTTTTCCTAAATAAACACAACAGTAAGCATTTTACAATGAAAAACAGATATATAAAAAGAAATAAAAACTAATACAGAATAAATGCAGAATAAATGTTCGCTAGACTATAGATTATATATATATATATATATATATATATATATATATATATATATATATATATATATATATCTATCTATCGATCGATCGATAGATAGATATAGACACACAGCAGAGACACAAGTGACTGCATAGTTTGTTAATGATACACATTCAACTAATGCTGACATGACTGATGTGTTATGAGACCGTTTTTGAGATGTTTTTGAAAATAGTGTATGTTGTAAGTTCTCTGATGTTCTGAGGGACAGAGTTCAATTCCTGAGATGCTGTAACTGCAAAGGATCTTTGACTAAAAGCATTTTTACAGCGAACAACACAGTCTCCTTTAGCCGCCCCTCCAGTTACTGTCCGTGTGTTCCTGATCTTTACAAACTGACTGAGTGGAGGAGATGACAGACCATGGATTATTTTGTAAAACATAGGTTTGCATACTTGATGACATTTTCACAGCCTAAAAGCTTATGTTTTAGTAAAATGGCATAATGGTGATATTTTAATAGTTTTTTTATCCAAGGTTTTATTTGCCTGTGACCAGGTTGTAAGACAGTAGATGATGTGGGACAGAACCATACATATTTTAGCTGCCTGGAGTGACAAGTTATATCTTATGGAGAGGAATTTTGTTATATTGAATTTGACTCTATTGCACACCTTTTTGATCTGGGATTTAAAAGTTAGTTTAGAGTCTAATAGGATGCCTAAGTATGTGAATTCTGACACAACTTTTTATTTTATTTTTTTCACTGTCACACAAATATCTTCGACATGATTTGCATTGTTGGATTTAGAAAAGTACATTGAAACAGTTTTATTTACATTAAGTTTTAAGCAAGATTGATTCAGCCATTCAGAGACATGGACCATAGACTGTGTTAGTTTTTCAGCAAGTTGTTTTGGGTTTTCACTACGAGTATAATTTACAGTATCGTCTGCATAAATCTGGATACAGACATCTGTACAAACTGAGGGGAGGTTGTTTGTATAGAGAGAAAATAGCAGAGGCCACAAGATAGAACCTTGAGGTACCCCTGTGGACATGACGAGAGGCGGTGAGAGATAATCACTGATCCTGACTGACTGTGAGCGATTGGAAAAATATGATTCTATCCATTTTATCGCATCTGAGGAGAAGTTAAATTTGCTTAGTTTGGTTAATAATATTTTATGGTTTACAGTGTCAAAGGCTTTTCTTAGATCGAGAAACACAGCTCCAATCACGCCACCTTTATCCAGTGAATGTTTAATATTTTCTATGAAAAATAAATTTGCAGTTTCCATGGAGTCTTGAGTTCTGAAACCAAATGCATTGAATGAAGGGAAAATGCAGTGGTATTTAAATGTGTTACTATTTGTTGGGCAATCAGTTTCTCTGCAACTTTTGACACTGTAGGTAAGATGCTGATTGGTCTGCAAATGTCCACTGACAGTGGAACTCAATTTTTGAAAAAAATTGGAACAACAGCAGCTGAATTCCACACACTTGGACATACTGCCTCAATAATAATTGACAATTCTGGTTACTGGTGTTAATTACGAGGAACTGAGTTATTTCAGCATGCACATATCTATGTCAAATATATTTCTAGTTACAGAAGCTTTAAGTATTGCTTGTAAGACTTCTGATTCTGTGACTGTCTGTAGGTTGAAGATTGGCTCAAGATTATTTGTTAAGCACATATTTAGATTGTTAGGAGGGAAGCTTTGGGCAATAGCTGAGACAGATTCAATAAAAAAAAATAATTGAAGGCATCTGCAACTTTGTGTTATTTGAAATTTGTCCATTTATTTTAATTTCAAAAATCCGTTTAATTTCTGAGTCCTGTACAACAAGTTTTTTCAGTTGGGTCCAAATTAATTGGAATCCCCTTTTGCATTACGTATTATAGTGAGGAAAAAATCTGCTTTGACCTTGCATATAACTTTATTCCTCAGTGTTGTAAACAGCTTTTTAACAGGAGCTGATTTAGTCTAAATTGCTATTTTTAATGCAAGATCCCTCTCTATCATTAGTTTGAGAATGTCAGAGGTTTACAAGTAAAATCTTTAATATTTCTCTCCATTGTAGCATCAAAAGATTTACAGGCAACTTCACAATTTCTTCCAAGCAGTATGTGATCCCAATCAATCTGTTGGACAGCATGTTTAACCCATTTAGGCCTAAAACGCCTGGAAAAAACAC